ATCATTATAGATGGAGAAAAGATTGAAGTGGTCCCCTTGTTCACCCCTCATAGAGCAGGCAGTAATCCCCCACTTTCTATGGAATAGTTATCCAGCCTCTCTACGGGATGTAGACTTCTCCCTGGTCCCAGGCAGGTGGAAAATAAGAAGGGAGGGTGCACGCGCATGCGTGTGCTGTGATCTTGTACAACAATCGATGGCGAGGGGCTCTATTTCCCCCTGACTCATTCTCTCTGCTCTCAGATTAGACCCCTGGAACAGTGATAGAGGAAGGTGTGGCTCTCAAGTAAGTCCACGCCCTTTGTCTTCCAGGAGTATTCCAGGACAGACCCTCTCTGATGGCTCATCCAGGCCCACATGTGACCTCAGGAGGCAATGTGACCCTCCTTTGTCAGGTAGCTTCTGACTATGACGTCTTCCATCTGTTCAAAGACGGAGCAGATGCTTTGTCGCAGGACTATTCCAGTCAGGACAATCAGGTCTTCTTCCTTTCCTCTGTCACTCGGGCCCACGAGGGCAGCTACACGTGCTACTGTTCTAGAAGGAACAAGCCCCTCCTCTGGTCACTGCCCAGCAAACCTCTTGACCTTTTGGTCACAGGTAAGTGCAAATCTGTGGCTATCACTTTTGCTTTGTGAACAAGGATGTCCCGTAAATTGTTTAAGGTAGCGTCTTAGTTATTTCACTAAGCTATAAGAAAAATCACCTTACCCAGAGGACGTTGTAATCTCTACGTTTTGGTCAAGAAGACAAAAGTCCTCACCCTGAGCCAAAAGGGAATATAGATGGAGAAAAGATTGAAGTGGTCCCCTTGCTTGGGTCTATAATCAATACCCCCGGCACCAGCAGTCAAGAAACCAAAAGATGTGTTTTCATGGGGTAAATCAGTTGTCAAAGACTTCTTCCGGGTGTTAAGGAACAATGATGCCAGTTTAAAGACTAAGGTGTGACTGACCCAAGCCATGGTCTTTTCAACGGTTTGTAATGCATTTGCAAATTGGACAACGACTAAGGAGGACAGAAGAAGCCTTGTGCTGTTTGAGGAAACAGCTGAATATCCCATGGACGGCCAAAAGGACAAACAAGTACGACTTGGAGGGAGTGCGGCCAGCACAGCACTTGGAGGCAAAGATGGTCAATCTTGGTCTCGCATATATTGGGTATGTTGTTAGGAGGGGCTGATGCTCGGAAAAAGATACCATTCGGGGAAAGATGGCTGGTCAGCAAAAGAGAGAAAGAACCTCAATGACATGGATTGACCATGACTGTAACAACGGGCTCTAATAGATCAGAGGTCGTGAGGCTGGTACAGGATAGAGCTGAGTTCAAGTTCACTGCGCTACGGTTGCTATGAATGGCAATTGACTGCAAGGCACCTCACAACAATAACACAAATACCACAGTAGATGGCTTTAGCCAACAGAGATGTATTTTCTCACTGTTCAGGAGGCTGGACGTTCAAGTTCAGAGAGCTCACTGGGGGGAAGACGTTTTTCTTCATTAGCTCTTTCTCTCCAACTTCTGCTCTGGGAGACCTTGTGCGTTGGCCTCTATTTTAACCCATCTCTGTCTCGATTTTTTGTTTAATCCTTTATTTTGGACAAGATTGATTTAAGACAGTCTCCAAGAATTCTGTCTTATGAATCCTGTCCCAGATAGGATTATAATCACAGGCATGGA